TGCAGCCCTCCGAAGGCATCTTTCTTAGAAGGGATCACCCTCGCGGGATCCCGGACTAAAGGTGACGTCATGTTTCCTTTGGCTGTAATTGGACAGTGGGCGGGTTTTATATGTTTTGATGCATTTGCGCTTCCTACACAAAGATTTGCGCTGGAACAGGTTTGTCATGTGGAATCTGTGGACGTAAAGAGATGGCCAGATAAAAATGTAAACAGTTAAGTGTTGCCAGTAAACATTGTTCAAACCCAAAGATTAAGCCTAGCAGTTTAACCTATTAATCCGACTTCGTAGTATGCCCTACATTTCACTGCAAGAATAAGACAGCTAGAATTTACATTTTAGCTTGAAAGCTTTAAAAACGGAAAACTGGTTAATCATGTCTAATGATAAATACTGAAATGGCTGACACCATATGTCAGAAATTTAAACCATGCAGCTTGATCAATTATTCACAGCGGTCATGTAACAAAGCGCGGTAAAAACCATTAAAATACACATTTATATTATATCACTTAATTTTCAAACCCACAGTAGGTAATGTTTTATCTCAACTACCATTACAGGTACACGTATTACAGTGTGAACGACACTGATAGAATAATATTGCATGCATTATAATTACATGACTGGATGGTCAAGATTGAAGTAATACCCAAAACAAATATACCTATGAGGACGTCTATTGGTTGACTGAGGTATTACACATGTCTAATGACTTTCTTGGGGGAGGGGAAAAACTTCCTTTACGGAAGCCTTCGTTGTTTAATCTAGAGATTTTTGCCCCCCAACCCAGGCCAATCCGATTAGGTTCTAAATTTTTCTTTAGATCCACTGGGACGATACCAAATCCAGGAGCTGTATGGCACTGAAAACTATGACCCATAGTCCTGCTCTGTGGATGGCAAATTTTCCACTGGTATTCAGTGGAGAATTCTCTCACAGACTCCAACTGGAAGCCATAGTAACACTGCAATCAAAGCCAATGAAATGGCTGTGTGTGTGTGTGTGTGTGTGTGTGTGTGTGTGTGTGGGTCAAAAGATGGAAGTGTTTTTTGCCTCTTTGTTTGCATGCATGTCACTTCAATGTGAAGATATATGATTAAAAAGTCCACTGTAGTTCACATAGATGAGTTAAGAAGTCAAATAAATACTTAGAAATGATGTCAGAGGGGGCCACAACTCAAAATATATATAGTGGCATCTTGGGTGGCTATGTATTTAATGGGGGGGGGGGGGGGGCAAGGTCATCCACCCCTGATTTCCAGAACAGCTTGTGAGTTTAGGGTTCCATACATCATGGCCTATTATAGAGAGAGCTGGGATTGCATGGTTTATAGTATGCTGTATCTACAGTACATGAGACTGGTGAGGACTATATCAGATGTGAAAAATAATAAATATGTTTCAATGGGAAATATTTATTTCTCACAATACACAGGCTCTTTCACTTCATTATAATTGTGGAAGTACAATTAAGATGGGAGTACATGAGACATTGAGAACTGATTTCTCTTTAAAGCCTGGGAGTCATTTTTCAGTCTACATGGAATAAAAGGACCATAGGTGATGAATTTGTCAGTATTTAAAAATGTAGTCATTGGGATACTGAATGTAACCTAGTATCTGCTGGGGGTGCTGGTTATCCTCAATCATTGTGATAAAAACTGGAATAACCACACTATTCAAGACTTCCCAAGTGTGCCAAATCACATGCATACTCTCAAATGAGGCTGCTTCATATCACTGCAACCAATCAGAATGTAAAGCACCACTCTCAAATGAGGCTGCTTCATATCACTGCAACCAATCAGAATGTAAAGCACCACACTCAAATGAGGCTGCTTCATATCACTGCAACCAATCAGAATGTAAAGCACCACACTCAAATGAGGCTGCTTCATATCACTTCAACCAATCAGAATGTAAAGCACCACATCCCTCATTTTTCTGATAAAGATTAGAGATGATTATTTGGGTTGCCATCATTTTCATTTTTACTTTGAGTAACAAAACTGCAAATGTGCAGATACCTGTTACATACAAATACATAACATACGTTTAGTGGCTCACCTCATTACAACTATACATATATGGGTTTATAATGATGCAATTATTTAAATAAGCTGGGCTCTCACTGAGCTCAGAGCTGGAATATTTGCTTCGATGCTAAAGAGCCACTTAGATCCCTCATGGGTACCACTATCGCCCCTAACAGTTGAAGGCTGTATTTACAATCCTTTTACTCTTCCCTCACTGTTTACCTCTGTTTACCCCTACAGGGGAACTGAAATGGCAGACTCCAGTCCGCATCCGGGCTGAAACACAATGTAATCCAGACTGTGTAATACACCCTGGACAGGATGCCAGTCTTTCACATGGCACATACACATACTGACAAAATATGGGCAGCTTAGATGGACCAAATAACCAAAGTGCATGTCTTAGGCTTGTGGAGGGAAGCCTATGTTACTTGGTGAAAATGTGAAAATTCCACATATACAGAGGAGTTATTTGAACACGCAGCCCTAGAGGTGTGAGGCAACAGTGCCTCCCCCAGAACTACTGTGCCAAATAGATATAATGTTTTGATAGATCGACAAAAGACAATGCATTTTAAATAGATAACTCTGGGCAAAAAGTGTCCAATTTTTGAAGATTTGTCTTAGCACACACATTATCAGATGTTTTTACGTAATACTGGTCTATCCTTTCAGCTATGCGTGGCTCCATTTCTACAGGGGTCGCTGTACACCTGCAATCTAACAGTTACATGATCAGAGCAGAGCTATTTCACACACTGTCCCCTCTCCCATTTCTGCTATGATATGTATTTGTGACTGCCTAGGCATGCATGTGGATCCTCTCCTGTCCCATGATGGGAATTAATCCCTTTGAAGATCATCTTACCATCAAAAAAAAAAAAAAAAAGCGCACGTGGTGGCAAAGGACTGCAGCATGCACTTATCTTAGCTCATAACAAGCAGCGTATGGGGATGAAAACAGAAGATTACTGCATTTACTTTATATTATCAAGACTCTTGGGGCTGTGACTGGAACAGTATAGAGGAAAAATCTGAGAGGAAATTCAATAGGATAAGACCTTTACGTAAAACAATTAATGACAGATCATTTTTACAAACCGATGTAGGCATCACGAAAGACTAGTATAACATGCTGTATAATAGTATAATATGCCATGATGCTGATAGTAATCATTCTGATCAGTTAAGAGGCTACTACTCTGTTTAAGCAATGTTATATGAAAGTGAAAGGCAGGAAAGGTCATACACATACAGATCATTGATTCATCCAGAAAAGACTGCCCTTAATGGACACCACCCCAAAACAACTCCTAAAGATTTATGATCTTTTTCTGAAACCTAATGCTCACATTGGTTTTGCACATGGACTCTAAACTTCAAAAACTTTAGTGACAGCTGGCTGCATGTTCAAACACACTTGGTTGTTGCTGGCAGAAGTGTTCCCTTTACTAAAAAGCTGGAATGAAAGCACTACCCCTCATCGTACTTTTGGTTGTGCATGGAGTGTGCAGAGACACAGCACACAGACACACTCTTACATGGGATCTGTTTGAGCAGGGCTGACCCTTTCAGACCTTAACAAGCTGGAATGTTTGGAGTGCAGCACTGCTGGAAGTATTCACTCCCAATTCCCTCCAGCTACTTCACAGAACAAGTCTAACCGTATAACGGAAAAGTTACAATAATATAAATAAATACAGAAAATAGTTATTTAAGCCATTCTGTGAGAATGTACAGTACTCAAAAAATCTATAGAACTAGAATAATCAGCTTTGTTAGTGAACAGTATGCTGTTACAAGCCTATGAATGATTCCTATAGACACACTTCACACATTTCATTTGGGAAAGAGTAAGCAAACCAGAAAAGTAATCCTGGTTCCAATCATTTAAACGATTATAAATGGTAAACAAAAATTTAAAAAATGAATTTACCATGTTGTTTTAAAGACTTTGTTAATAAACAACAAAATATAAAGAAAACATATTTAAAGTTTCTTTGATACTGCAAAATAAAAACTTCCCTTATCTCACACATTCCAGAATTCCTTTAACATTTTATTGCAATGCATCACTGCAAAATTATTTAAAAAGATTAATAATTCCAATATGAAACAGTTATGTCAAACTGTTATGTATTTGGATATCATCAAAAAATGAAATTTATGTTGTAGAAATTATACTGAAGTAACAGTGGATGTATAAAGCTATAATCAAAATATGAACTTTCATCCACTGCTGCCCGGTGTATGTTTGCGCAGCTGTGCATCTTCTGAAGGAAGAACAGTTTTGTTAGTTTTTTTTCTGAGTTAGAGTTTAGTTGGCCACATGCAGTATATATACTAGAATCTAAATCTAAATATTTTGGCTTTTCCAGTTTAGTTTACTTAGAAACACGGACATAGCACTTTGCTCTGACTGGTTATCAAAGGAAAAGTTATGTACTATGCACACAACATTTGTTCATAATGTTTTTCCTAAAGACAAAAAGTAGCTCCATAATCTCCAAATGAACAGATCACGTCCGAGGCGAATCGCTACTTGTATATTCATAAGAATACATGACCGAACTGGAATAAACAAATGATATTTTTACTAACCTATTACGCCAAAATTCTCCTCACATCATATTAAAGTTCATTTACAATATTTAGGACGGAGAAAAACAACAACTATTGCTAGTGTCTGGATTTACACAACGAACTGACAATAATGAAGTAAAGTGATACGCTAGTCATTAACTGATAAGAAATTTGTAATTGTTTCATTGACAATGGCAGACATGCTTGCCTTTATATGCAACACTACAATGTACCACAAAAGCAGTAAATATTACTTTCTCAAATACATGAAATGGATTATTCCGGTTTGTGTCATTCTGTTAAAAATGCATGCAAATATTGATTTTTATGTAAGGTTGCGTGGGTCACAGGCATTTTCAGACAAACCAGCGGGCTTACCTTCAACTGTCCGTCAGTTTTGCAATGTTGTTTGGGCTTTTCGCTATGTCTTCCACGCTCCTCCCTTGCAGTTATTTTGGATTCCACTGGATTGTCGTGTTTTCTTTTACATCCCTTTCGCCAGAAAGCAACACACAACCTACAATAAGCACTTTGATTCTTATAAGAACTCTGAAACAGAACCTTTGATTTGAAGCACTTGAACTTGACTCTCATTTACTGGTCTGTGTAGTAAAACCTGTACTCCGTCTTCATATTGTTAGCTTTGATTCTAGTACAGCCCTGCAGCTCGGGTGAACTGTATCATAGGCCATACGCTTCAATTATAAAGATTCCAAGAACAAAGCAATAACTGCACATCGCAGCAATCAACCTCGCAACTCACTCGGTCGTCACTGTGCGCTGCCTATTCACTGATGTTGATTCAAGTTTTCACGTCCCTTTGTTATCGTCACGCCTTTAAAAGGAGGTTCTACTGAGCAGCGTGTAACTCGGCTTTCCTTCTCCATTTACAGCACCGCAACATGATCCTTGTATTCATAATTCTATATGCTTCCGATAGAGATACTTGGTTCTTTCTTTGTAGCTATTCGTTATTCACCCTCTTAGCTATCTTCACGCCAACAAGTGTCGCAAGACAAAGTGATTTGCTGGATAAATAACCACGTTTTGTTGCTCACCAATAGAGGGTTTATTGTTAGATCTCCCCTGAGCTATACGAGTAGAGCCCATTGTTCGATTTTTATTTGCACAGAATTTGTTTTATCTATCGACACGGAAATCCTAGAAATCGAAAAACCCTGAGAGACATCTCTTTGTTCCATTCAGTGCTTTCCAACACCCATCTCTTATAATGCAGTGTATGATTTTTTTAAATAAACGATCGGTCTCGTAAATTTTTCTAATACCGTCGTATACATTGCAGTCGCACCGTCACATTTACCAGAATTAACATTTTGAAATTATGATGTATTTTTCACTCCTGTTGGCCGTAGCCAATTAGCGCTTTGACTTAGTCGGACGGAAACGTCAGTGCCTATCAACAAGCGGAGCTCAGCCACACCCACTCATTCATAAAGTGCAGGACCAGCATCTGCTCTGAACATCGAGATGAACCAAAATCGAGAAAGACTCGAATTAACGCTTGAGCCTTACGACGTACGTGGTTTAAATTTTTCATCACCTTTCTAAGGATATGCCATAAGTGCGTACGCTGGCTATATGAGCAAGGACATAACTTTGGGTTGAGCATTGGAGGGTTGAGGTCTCCACTCATTTAAAGGGGTCCAGGGGGTTGTATTATTGGGTTTAATTACCCCCCATATTACTTCTATGCACATGAGTACACCTGTTCAAAAACAAAATTGTTAATCAACCTTTTATATCACTAAAACAATCTATCGATTCTAATTGTAACGACAATAATACATTCTCTTTGAAAGTTATATTTAAGATATATTTAAAGCTATATATAAATCGGCATTTCATTGTGGCAAATATATTCATTGTTACAGAATCCAGTACATTGAATAAATACGAGGTTATCCGATTCCAATACTGCTCTAAATTAAACACGTAAAAAAATCAAACCCCTGTCACTTCCATAATTTCCGTCCATTTTATAAAAATGTTTATAAGTAAACGTAAAACATACATCGCAATACTTGAATTGAATATTGAAATATCTCATCAAAATAAAAAACTGGCTTCTTAAATTTCACGATTTCTCCAAAACGCTACTTTCTGTATTTCAAAAATATTTTATTTCCATTGTCTGCTAGCTGTTTCGTTTCTCAGCAACGTTGTTCATTAGCAACGGGCAACTTAATAGCGTCAGCATAAATCAGTTGGTCCGCTGGAGACTGAAAAGGAAAAAAATGGGAGGGGGTGAGAGGGAAATCTTAGTTAATACAAAAACAGAAGGACCTTGTGGATCATGACGGGTTTCGGTTATTAACTCATGGTGGAATCTTGGTAGGACTTCTGCTACAAATTTTGTTAATTAGGCCTATGTTATGAGAGCAAGACAGGCCTACTGAATACAATCAAAACACTGCAGGTACATGCTAAGCATCTGATAGGAGTAATACCAAATCTGAATGGCACAGTGTTTCTCAGCAACACTCACTATACATGCAGCAAGGTTGATTTGATTTTGAGCTCGATGAATCAGTTATCAACAACAACCGTTCTAGATACATATGTACTATAACTAAGTCTCCAATAGTAAAACATTTCATAAGTGTCATAGTTGTTGCTGGGAGCTTTATGGGATGTATACAGTATCCAGGGATGGTTGCTGAAGTTTTGTTAAAAATCTGTTCAACAACTGACCCAATTCTACTGTCTCCGGATTCCCATACATAAAGAAAATAAATATACCAAACTTTATTATTTTTCTTATTATTGTATTATCTTTTTAAGTCATCTTTTTGTACTTCTTGTTGTTCTTTTTCTTTTTTATTATATTAGTAGTAGTAATACTACCAATAGCAGTAGTCATAAGAAGACATGTACTTCAGATTGTGCAATACAACAATACTTCTGCTAACTAATTTATCTATTGTATGAAACACTTTTGGTTCTGGATCTGAAATTAGTCCAGTGTTCCATAAATTGGTGCAAACACAATAGGCACCTGTCAGGTATTAATCCAGATACCTATACTTTTAAAATTCATATTTCTAGCAGAGTCTAATCTTGGGAGTGCTATTTGCTGACACTTGTATTGCAGTCAAGACACATGTGGCACGTCCTTCAGGAACAAAAGTCTTGGATCTGGAAGCTATATATCTAGTTTCACTCAAAGTAGTTACCTTGAAAAAGAAAGCTATGAGATCTCGCGGCACAGGTCTCACGGCACATTGTTGTGAATACAGGTAAAGACAGGGTTTGAGTGTGGCATGTGCCTGTCCTCACTTTTCCAAAGGTGAAATTAGCACACCTAAAATATCAGAAAAAGTTACATCTTTTACACACCAATCAACCACAGCATGTCCCACACCCAGGACCTAGGTTTGATTATTCATGCATGCATTAGCATCTATGGCAAAGAGGCCCAGAGGAGACTAGAGTTGGAATTCTGTCAGGTAAGTGCAACAGGCATCCTTCCTACTGCTCTACAGCAGGGGTGGCCAGTCTTATCCGCAAAGGGCCGGTGTGTATGCAGGTTTTTGGGATAACCTTTAGGTCAGCTGTTCAAACCCCGGTGTGAGGACTCTTCAGACAATCAGTCCTCTAATTAGTAATCTACTTAGGGAGTTCCAGTGAAAATCTGCGCAGCAGTTGTATCTGGATAAGACTGGCCACTCCTGCTCTTCAGTGACATCTACTGTCATACGGGTGCAAAGTGTTCTCTCTTCCAAGTGTATTATACTGCCCAGAGCTAAAAGAAGCGTTTGGCCATAGGTTTCGGTTTCTCTTACTAAGGGGTAAGACTTTTCCAGGGGCATGGGCTTGACCAAAGGGGGGAGGGTCTCAGAAAATGTGGCATGAATGGACCTCAAAAGGGGGCCACTTTCAAATCAGGTAAAAGAGGGCAGATTCTTAGGCAGTCTACCCCCCCCCACCCCACAAACACACATGCCTGATTGAGACAAATACATTTGTTTAAAAAAAATTGAATTCATTCACATTAAATTATTACACATTAGTACACAAACCACATTTTCAAGTATAACTTCACTATACAGTTACATATTATTGAACATAATACATTCAAATACCATGATGAGTAGGGAGTTGACCTATGCAGGTGACTAACAGCATATATGTAGTACTTAACAGTATATATGTTGAATATAACACTATATATGTAGGAGGAGGCTTGGATTCAGTTGCTCCTTGAAGGAGAGATCTATTCATTTCATGTTGTAATGTTACATAGTATCATGTTACAGGGCAACCTACTTGTTTTCTGTTTACAGCAGGTAATTCACAAGTAATCACTTATTAAATAATTTAAAGGGGTTATAAAGAGACATTTCAAAGGTATATATTGTAATTTCTCACTTTTTTTTTTGTTTTGTAACTGAACCTATAGAAAACAACATGCTCTATCTTGAAATATGCAAGGAAATTATATAATTCTGCAGTTTTATTAACCTATTCATTTGCTTATGTAAAGCCTTTATGTACCTTACTTATTCATAAATGTTTTTCAGAAAGTAGTGAAACAGAATAACGTAATACTTCTCCAAAATACTCCAAAACTCCACAGCTTCAGCAAGATGACCTTTCTGAAATAGTGAAAGTAAATGATTGTCATTGTCGACACACCACAGCATGCAGTGCACAACAGTGAAATGTGTCCTCTGCATTTAACCCACATGTGACATCATGGCATAGCAGTGGGCAGCTATTATTTAGTGCCTGGGGGGCAGTACGTCGGGGTGGTACCTTGCTCAGGATACCTCAGAGGTGCCTTGCTGGTCAGGGATTTGAACCAGCAACCTTTCAACCACAGGCATGTGTCTCCAACCATTAGCCCCCCTCCCTTTTTTAATGGTTTCTCATTCCTAATTGGTTTATGCTGTGAACCTTACACAAATTTACTGTATGAGACTATCTTCCCGAGAAACAAATGGGTCTTTGTTCTAGGGCTGGACAATAATTCGATATCAATATATATCGCGATACAATTTTTTTCAATAACGGTGATACGATTTTTAAACACATTTCCGATATTTCGATATACATATATACTGTATCATATAATATACAGTATATGAATAATCAGCCTGTTTTAGTTTAAATGGAAATATATTATTGTTAATAAGCTGAGTCTGAGAGTTTTATTTATTTGATAGTTTATTTCACATTTCTTGTTTGTAAAGGCTAAATACAAATAAAAAGTGAACCTTATTTTTTTTTGTACTGTTTTTATTTAAAAAAATTATATAATTTTAATAGGAGGAGCCTGGAGGTATTATAGACTTTGCAAATTCAGTTTGCAGACATCCATTGTGTGTGTCCTCGGCAGTTTTTTCCTGAGGCTTTTTAATATTGTCCATATCGATATCGGAATTATATCGTATCGACCAAAATTAAGAAATATATCGTGATATAAATTTTTGCCATATCGTCCAGTCCTACTTTGTTCCCATTCAGTTTGTGCTGTACTGAATACAGAAGTTTAGCATAAAATACTGTTCACAAACGTTCTCTGTTTATTATGCATGGTCTATTGGCAGGGTGTCTTAATATCTATTTTTTTAATTTATACTGAATCGTTAGTGACTAGTCATAACTCATGTTTGTGGAAATGAAATTTTACAAATATAGTGAGTGACTTTAAATCACACGCTTTTGCAATATGTTATCTATATAACTATATATAACTCAATGTATAAGGTACTCTATGTACAGTCAGTGGCCACTGACTTAGGTTACACCTAGCTAGTACCCAATGGGAACTATTTTTGCTTTTAAAAAACACTTCAAGGGTAAACGAGTTCAGAGAAGCCATTCTGAACACCACTGAAGTACAGTTATTGTCTTTGCACATGAGGCCTTCCTGCTGGCCTTAACGAATGTGGCCATTCTTATCTGACCTCTCTCATTAAGAAATTGATTGACAGGATGCTATTGTGGGAGAATGTCAGTTGTCCCTGGGCCCAGAGTCAAGGGGTCCCAAAAGGGCCCTGTAACCTTTACATAATCTGCTGTAGTAATTTGTCAAAAATAACATATGTCAAAATTTTACATAGTATTTATGAATCACATAAA